GTATTCTGTCATATTTTGCATTGTACTTCGGAATTTGTGCCGAAAGAAACTACTTACGCATATTAGACTCTGTACATAGCATTACTGTACGTGCATCTTCCGACTTGTACTGCGCCAAACATCTCATGGCCTATGTTCATTGCCTATATGTTCATGGCCTATGTTTCTTTACCTATGTCCACGTTGCTTGCCATGTATTAGGGAGGCCCGGGTTCTCCTCAAGTGACAAAACGTCACTTTTCTCCCGAGCCTGCCGTCATCCTTGGGATGAAATAAAAATTGAATTGTAATTGAATTGAATCATCATTCACTCCGAGGATATGCCATGATCCGCTCCTCGTTCAGGGTAGCCACCAAGCAAAAGTATCAGGTTGCGTTTATTGGTAATGCATAACTGATCACGTTGCGTAGTAGCATGGCAAAGGTCATGGAAAGGACGAAGACGGGCGCTTGCTTCCGATAATGTTTATTTCAAAGAGTGTGCACACACTGACATACTGTTTTTCTTGAGAATGTAAGATTTTCGCGCATGGCAGTTGTGAGCTTCTTCGTTGATTTTTTTTTCGCATTTCGAGAGTATGTGTGTACGCTCCTCGAAATAATATTTGTTAGAAGAAAGTTATTCATTGTTACGTTATTGCGCACTGCTTAAAGGACCCGTGACAGTGAACGTTTTGTCTGCGAGTTTTTTACTGTGATTGGTGGCTTTGCGTCTGGTAATGCCGAAATTATATCGTAAATGCTCTAACAAATCGTATAATAACTAATGTTGGCGGCGATCTTGCGTTAGAACTGTTTCGCGTCAGTTCGAAACGCCTGTCCAAATACCGTAAGAAACTAGCGCCCCACAGTGGAGCAGCGCCTGAGGCTCTATCCAAATAGGGGGACCCACATGTGGTGAAGAATGAAACGATGTGGTGGCTTTGAGTGTGTCTCCCTCAGAAAAAAGAAAAGCATTCCTGGCGTAAGCAGCCAAAACCACCTTGAGAGCAGCCCGACAACAAAGCGAGAGGGGTGTGGAACAAAACTCCTCGCGGGGCACCACTCGCAGTATTGTGCGAGTTCCGCAAGTTTCGACCCTGCAACGTCACAAGGGGAGTGCCGATCTACTTTGAACCACAAAAGAGTTGATTGCACCGGAATACTTGGAAGAGCATGCACCCTTACTTTAAAACAACATTAAAATACAGTCACAACTAATAGTCGGCCAGAGCTGTCCCCCCATGCAGGACTATCGAACAACACAAGCATGTTATGTTTCTAAATTCGGTGTCAGGGGTCCTTTAAAAAACGAAAACTTGAGCTGAAGGACTGTGTCTGTATGGTGCTTCATCTCAAGTGTTCGTCTTTTGAGCAGTGCGCAATAATGTAACATTGAATAGCTACCGACCCTCCTAAGCAAGTATAACCTTGGAAATAAGTGCTGGTCTTCGTCCCTTCTTTTCTCCTTCGCCAAATTTTCGCGCTAGCTGATCAGTTAGCCAACAGAGCACGCGCATAGTTAACTTTGTTAATAACGCCCTTCGCTTATCTCAGTTGGCTAAAATAGGTGTAAACGTCATGAGTGCTTTGCGTTTCTCAGTTATACGGCTGTACTGAGCCATTAAAACCGTCGCTAAAGACAAGCTAAAGTCGGCGCGTCATCATCACTATTACTCCTCCATGTTCTGTTCGTTCATTTATCAATGCCACTGAGCTATGCTTCCTCAAAGTGACCCTGCAATACAGAAGTGGAATAAGTAGCGTTGACGGAAGAATGAATAGGACAACCTGAGAACGGGCACTAGCTGGAAAGTTTTATTTGTCACTTTTTACTCCGTCGCTTCACGTTCGGCGCCTGTGACGCACTTGCATTTAACTCACGCGGACTCGTTGATTTCCTATGCAATACAACTACTGAACTACCAATGTTCTTTGCCATGCCGTCCCGCCATTTATGTCATAAGCACCTATTGTTGGTATGCAGTTTGAGTTCATCAACAATGATGTCTCGCAATCTTTCCGCTCTCCTTGTCTAATTAGTTTTGCTTGTGAATGATTGTTCACGTCGACTCTTTCAAAAAGATCCTTCTGTACTCTTTCAAGCTGCGTGCATCGCTGCACTCGTGCATTTATGCAGTCACTTTCTCTGAGAGTATTAGCCACATATTAACTCTTCTAAACTAGATAGAAAATTTGCGTTAGTGCAGTGCTGATAGTTTACTGAGCTTCAGCGTGTTAGAAGATTTTATGCAGGAGTGTTGGACTTCGTTGCAGATAATCAGAGCCTCACCTGGAAGGTGCCGCCGTGAAGGCACTGGTACGACTTAGGTGTAGGAATATAAATTTTGAGCAAAAAAAAAATCCTCCATTTCATGACATTGGCACTGGCCTAAGTAGACGTCTTGCGTGCATATTCTTTTCTCAAGTTCATTTCCCAGATTTGTATTATCTCCATCGTTCAGAAGAAGAAACGTAGGTTTCCTGGGAACTGTGAATTGGTTGGTTTAGATAAAGTGGCTGTCACCTCCGATAGCTTTTTTTTTGTGGAGGAGAGAAAACATTGTGGCAATTAGTGACGGGCAGTTGTATCAATCAAGGATCCTACGCCGTCACTTAGGCGAGAAAAGGGGGGAAAATTGTACTTTGTGCCCTAATCTTTCTTGATGTCTGTGTCTTTTTTTCTTTTGTTCATATGTGCCGCACTAATACAATCTAAGTACTAACCTAACAAGAATCTGTATTTTGAATAAATAATAAACTTAACCTAACTGAAAAAATACCCGACAATGTTAGTGGGGCTGAAACAACCTTTCCAATGTGCCGTATAACTTACACCGCACATGAAGGTAAGAGGAAGATGGAGAAGTACCTTCAGGTGAACTCCACTTCTAAGCAGATTTCTGACGACATTAGCCGAGTGTAAACACCATTTCCTACATTCCCGTTATCAGGCTGGGTATCACCAGAGCCCCATCAAAGCAATATCTCTAAAAACTCCATGTGATTTGAACATCCCGAGGTTTCATGTGAGTGGAGGTGAAACATAGTTCCGTACATGATTTTCTTTCTCCTGTTTTTTACCTTAAATGCTGCTGGGCGCAAATTCTGCAGCAGATGAAAATCATAAAACCGCGTATACCAATATTAAAAGTACCTCTACTGTAACCGACATTATCTGCAGTATGCACAACGTGGAAAACTACAGAGGAAAAAATGCTGTCCTACAGCCTAGTATAGTCAAACGCTAAGCGTCGTGTAAGCTGCGAGATTTTTGGTAACTCTATAAACGTCGAACAATACGTGTTGTTATAGAACAACTGATCGTCTTCTATGTCATCAGCCATGGCAACAGGGGTTTTTAATAAACTGGCGACACAGGTATGGACAAGCTTCAAGTTGCGTAGCTATTCCTTCATCGTGGCACCAGATCAGCTCTCTACCCGGGCGTGTATTAGAGTGGCCTAACCAGTACGAACACTTTTGCCGACTTAGGCTATAATCGTGGCAATAGCATCAAAGACCGATGCTTGCTATCACTGTGAAGTCACACATACAAATATGCGTCTGCGCGGCGAATGCACTGCATTGTATGAAATGTCAAGCCACGTAAAAAAATCATTAAAAACGTTGTGTGCTCAAGCCAACGTTTCGACCTTCTTCAAGGCTAGAACCAAGAAAAAAAAACATCTTGGTAAGAAGCGCTTGTGTTGTGTGTTCCGTGTAATAGTTGCTGCGCTTCCTACCCAGATGAATTCATACCAACTGGCCCAATACAACGGCTTATAAAACCAAAAGTAACAGGGGACTATGCTACGAGTGGTTTTATTAGCGCTAGCGTATGTCTGTTTTGCTATTTTTTTGCATTCATGGAGCACCTGCAGGTCATCTTCATGTTGATCGCAATATTTGTATTGGGAAGTTGTACACGTGTCTCCAGGATTGCAGCAGCACGTTCCTTGCAGACGAAGCTCGTGAATATGCGTAGAAACGTTTTCTGAAAGAGGTACCTGGTTTCTTCTGGTGGTAGAACTTTTTGTCGCTACTCGTGGCTGGCGTCGGCTTCTTATACGCGACGTTGGCTGGGTTGATGGCTTGACTGGGACGTCTGGTGCATGAAGAAAGCAGCACCTCAACAAGATATCATGGGCTCGTGCTGCTAACGATGGCAGCGACTGATTGTCTGAAACAAAACTGTTTATTTGACTGAATTTGTCACCCGTGAACCGAAAGCCAGATTACAGAGATACCCACTGGTATTGGCGAAAAAGGTGTAGGGCGTCGATAAGCTGGTTGTCGTTGAGATGCGCTGTCTTTTATACATCACGCGCTGATTTTTCCAGCTTTATTAGTGGTGATAGCACAAGCTCCAGGGTGATCTTGAGCGTTCGTGTCCCGTGCATGACCTTAACAAAATCATGTACAAGAACGCGAAGTTTTTTTAACACAGAGCTGCGATCTGCGCCGAGTATTGCTCCCAGTTTTGTTTCAACCGGGCACATCACTATAACAGTCATATAAATATGAATTCGTTTCACACATAACACAAAAAATGTAGAAAGGCCACAATTTCTATTCAGACTTCACTGATGTTTGTATTAGAGTATTAAACGTCTTCAGGAGGACATGATGTGGAGCCGACATTGAAGACTGTACAAATGAGTAAAATGTTACCTTTGAGAAAATTTTGATTGCTAAACTAACATTTTCGTGGGCCTCCTGAGGCGGCAATTACATGTTTGTATTAACGTGTGAGAGTGTTTAAACTCTGGTGGACGTTCTGAGCCTTTCTTGCTTGACGGCTACAACTTAGATTCTATCATCACTTCATGGTCGGAGTGCGCGATTTAAGGTCGACGTGGCCTCATCATGTGTGAAGTCCGCAGGACGGCTTTAAGCTCTCCTATAGTAAAGTACCAAGTCTTCAAAGGTTTTAACCATTTTTTGAAACCCAATTTACCAATGCTTATTACTTTATGCACCCAGATAAAAGTGCGAACAAGCGAAGTCGGCCGTCTCACCTGCCAGAGGCAACATGCTTCCGCTGAGTGTGACGGGCCAAGACGCCTGCTCTCTGTTCACGCCGAAGGTTTCCACGATGCGGTAGAAAAACACTCCGCTCACCCTCGACGATGACAGGGCAAGAAAGAGGAGTGCCCCGCAGAAGGTGGCTGTAATCCAGCTTTGCCGGGAATCCACTCCAAACACGCGATCGTTCTTAATATGATCCTTAGGCGACATCGCTTGCATTGTGTTGGTTGACCCGAACTGACTGAACTTTACTGCGCTGCCAGTGGATGGTAGGCAGCTGCCAAAGTGTCCGTGTAGAGGATGTACTTGGGCACAAATGCTGTCCGTTGGCTGAGCACTGGAATTTGTGTCATTTTGGAAAGCGGCTGTCACATTTTCTTTGTTCCTTTTTTTATACTTTAGCTCTTACATCGCTCAAGGTCATAAACGCGATAACGCTAGCGGGAGATAAAGTAGTTCAGTGTCACGTCTGGCATGTCGATGACTGGAAAGGGAGAGCATGGTGGCGTGTTTCTCCGGCAATCCTCTCGCAATTATTTCAGGGGGCAGAAACTCCTGTACTTCTCGTGAATTCGCTCTCGGCAGCGGCATGCAGTGACGCTTTTACCACTGATAGCTGCCGGGCATCCAACTATAAATAAATTACGAACAGAAGAAATCTTTCATGACGTTAATAGTGACGTCCAAAAAGAGAGCGAAACAGCGAAAAATCCAGAAGAGAGATGTTGCCGCAAAAGCCCCTTTTTCTCCACTTCGCACGCAAGTGGAATGCACTCGTGCCTTATTGCTGCAGAAATTAGGCACCTTCTTCTAACCACTACAACTACCAAGACCGCTGGCCACTTGGCCGATGCGGCCAATCGTAAATTTTTGTTAATATTTTTCTTAACTTTGTTCGTGTTTTCTGAGGAAGCGGAAGTTAAGTCGATTGATTTCTCAGTAAGATTAAACTTGATCGGCACAAACAAAAGTAATTTTTGATTGCACGTTTTTATGAGAAAGAGACATACACGCTGTATTAAAGTGTCAGTCTATAAAAGCAGCCTTAACTTACAACTGACATACGGACATAACGGGAAACGTTGAACCAAGGATATCCGAACCAATGCAAAAAATATCAGCAATTGCGACCCGGACACGTCGTATATGACTGAATTACATTTTTATCATGACAAGTTTTCTTGCAGAACTTGAGTACCGAACGAGACTGAAGTTAAAAGGCACGGAGGGGCATGAAGCGATCAGAAGTTTTTCGAGAAAAAACGTCAGTGGAAACAAGTGTTTCGGGAACTTGACTTGTTTTCGTCAGGGCTAAGCGTTGCGTTGACAAAGGAAGTTCACTTGTCGAAACGTTGGCTCCATCAACGTTCTCTGTAATAGTTTTAGAAGCATTTAGTCCATCATGTAAACTTGACTGACACTATTACTCACAGTTTCAAACTTTGTGAGTAGTACTCACAAAGTTTCAAACCACGGCTACAAGAATTTCATGAGCAGGAAGCAGCCTATAGTTACCTGACATCCTTTGAACTACACGCTATATGTAAAAGAAACGAGAACTACATAGCTGAGCCAACTCGAATCCAAGCCTTTCAATGAACGCGTTTTGCCGACAAGAATTTTGCTGCATTATTCCCAAATTAGTCAAGCGACACTGCACTTTTCTCAGTCCAATCAGGCTTCCAGAGAACTGGGTTTACTCATGTATTCATGCAAAATCGACGCCTGCTCAAATATTTGGTCCAAATTCTTCTGCTCACCCGTTGCTTTTAGAAAGCGCTAAAGAACCTTCGCAGAACTATAAATCTTTGGGTTAGCACAGCGCACAGCCACGGGAAATGTGTGTTGCCCGATTAAGCTATCTTCAGTGAATCCATGGTTGACATGTTTGGCGTAGCTCACTGCGGCTTCCCTTCTCTGCCCGCCACAACGTGCTGTCTTTATCTCCTCCGTAGCGAACACGCCAACCGAGCGAGATAGTTCTGCGCTATCTAAATTCTAACATTGCTCCGCGATGGGCGATAAGGAGTGGAGGCAAGCGACATACAAACGTGAGTTAATCACTTTGCGTGATTCTTTTGATTCGAAATTCACGAAATAAGGAATAAGAAAAGACATAAACAAACAAGAAACTGTTTACAGGGGTATCGAACTTTTTTTTATATGTAAACACTTGTGAAAGCTAATAAATGCGAACATTCACATCAACCTCACTCCATTCAACCGGGTCTTAGAATGCCCGGCAGGCACTACGAGTGTGCATGTTCCTCGAAACCGAAACTAGCGATGCGTTTTCGGGCCTGGTTATTTCTGCTAGACAGAATGAATGTCAAATATTAATGGTTCTGTAGTGGAAGGCATAGAAGTAGTTCGCATGACAACAGTAAAACCTGAACGCAAACCCGGCCGTGGCGGCAGCGTTTCAAAAGATGGCGAAAATACTTGAGGTCCTCGTGTTGGCCTATAGGTGCACGTTAAAGTACCCCAGCTGTTCGCAATTTCCAAAGCCTTCCACTACGGCCTCTCTCAAGTATATAGTAAAGAGCATTTTCTTTTCATATCTTCACGCTGCAGTGTATTCTTCGCATGATCCGTCGCGGTGGTCAAGTGGCTGAGGTACTCGGCTGCTGACCCGCAAGTCGCAAGAACGAATCCAGGCTGCAGCCGCCGTAGGCGGGAGATGAAGGCGGGAATGCTGTAGGCCCATGTGCTCAGATTTGGGCACACTTTCAAGGACCTCATGTGGTTGAATCTTTCTGTGCCTTCCACTACGGCGTCTCTCACAATCATATGGTAATTTTGAAACGTTAAACATCACATATCAATCAATGATCAATCGTGTTATTAGCATGAGATAGGCCTACTTTAATTCTACTATTTAATTCTACTATCCGTTGATGATGAAGTTCACTAATTTACTTCCTTAATAGCTGTCTCGAACAACATCGTCCGCAAGCTTACGAGGTCAGTCGCTACAGGCCCCACCGCGGTGGTCTAGTGGCTAAGGTAGTCGGCTGCTGACCCGCAGGTCGCGGGTTCAATTCCCGGCTGCGGCGACTGCATTTCCGATGGAGGCGGAAATGTTGTAGGCCCGTGTGCTCAGATTTGGGCGCACGTTAAAGAACCCCAGGTGGTCGAAATTTCCGGAGCCCTCCACAACGATGTCTCTCATAATCATATGGTGGTTTTGGGACGTCAAACCCCACAAATCAATCAATCAGTCGCTACAGGAAAATCACCTGTGATTACATTAAAAAATCACGTTTCTCTTACTATCAAGTAATCTGGTCAAATTTCTTTCAACACACGGTATAAACTGATCAATATGTTTGTATTCTAAAATGCTTTTACGCTGTTGGTAATACTTTAATTGCCAGGAAAATAGAACTATCTCTTTTTACAAAGTGGGAGGTCTTCGCATTTGAGGGTGTCGTGTGCCCCATTTATGCAATTCGCGCCCTTTCCACCTAGGCTATGTTGATCAGGTCGCGCACCGGTAATCCGGCTCTCCCAGAGCTCCTTGGCTTTATGTGCGTTGCGGGAATTTTGTGTACACATGCACACTCCAACATAATATGGGAAACGTGACTAACAGATGCACGTATTCCGAAGCTTCGCAAAAATTGGATTGGGAATCCCTAAATAAGGACGCAGCGATCGTACAAAAGCTACCAGTTCTTTGTTGAAGCTAATTCCGCTATGCACCGTGTTTGAAGAACTCTTTTACAGAAAAACAGCGTTGGCGGAACGTGGCAAGCATGAGACTTGAATATGCCTAGACGCGACTACAGAGACAGTGTTGCGGGCATCGCCTGCTATAATAGTGAGTTGGGCAAAATTTTGTCACCAGCAACATAAAGGTGCGAAACGGTATGGTCGACCTACAATACAATTTAGTCACTTACGCACCAGGTGACAAGGTATGGGTCTGGATCCCAAGAAGTGGACGCGGACTTTCATAGACATTGCTAATACAATACTTCGGTCCCTACCGAGTGACCCGACTCAGAATTACGTCAACTACGAAGTCATTCCCGCCAGTGATTATGGTTCCAGTCACCGAAAGCATTGACCCGAAACGGCGAATGTCGTCCGGATGGATCACTTCCTGCAACTTAGTTGTTTGTCATTTGGCGGCCAGTTCATATGTGTACATTTTTATAGGTAGGTTAAAGGTAGGCTGCGTATCGATACGATGCCTTTTTCGGAGGGAGCCAAGTGCCACAGGCGTGCTGATAAAAGACGAAGACGATAGGGCGTACGCGCATCTGCACGCTGAATGCCGAAAGCTGTGACTGAAAAGAAAAGGCGCGCTCTGGCCAGCGGAAAATTGAAGAAAGACTGAGCGGCTGCTGCTTTTTCTACGTGTTCAATACGACTGCTGTCATTACAACGCGATTATACATTTGGTAGCACACTACTTAAGAGGTTAAACACACCTATATACGCAACTTCTCGAGTTTGTAGGTGTACAACGGTGAAGGGTCTTAAGAGGTTCACAGATAGTCAACTGGCGTCAAACAGACACGGGAGATCGAGGCGAAGTGCCCTAGGAAAGCAACTTCCTATATTACTATGCTTGTCTAAAGAAAGTCAAGGCCAAGTCTGAGCTCATGGGGGCAGCGGGCAAGGACGATAAAAAGGACAATGCTTTGACGGCTGGCCACGTGAACGCGGGCAGTGAAATTTCTTATCATTTCAGCCGTACCGTCATCAGCAACATGTATTATCTGGGTCGTAGACGGTGTCATAAACTACTATGTATTATGGCATAGACGGACGCACATAATAAACTGCTACACGCCAGTATTATTGAGGGTGCAGACATAAGCATGATTGACGTTTACTTCATGGAGGTTGTGGTGCATGGGGTGCATCAGAAGCGGATGAGCAGGTGACGATTGTAATGCATCTTTACCTCCATAGAGTGCAATATCTAGTTTTCCGTTTCTGAGTGTCCATAGAAGTTCTCTTGGTGTAATACTATGGTTACTCTGGCAAATATAGGGTTATTTTGAAGAAGTGTACCTATGCTGCCATAGTGTCGTTTCAGCAACGCGACAAAGGGAAGCGTACTTTGGAATTGATGGTAATTGCGATGGATAATTCATTAGCGTAGCCGATATTTCTAATTTAAAGCAACGTTACTTAAGTAATAACAGACTACAGCTGTAAGCGACCCTCAAAATAAACAATACGTACAAACGCGGTGGCTGTGGTCATAGCAGGGTGTGTGATCGGCACACCCCTGGAGGTCATGGCTAAAGGCTGCCTTAGAGCGACAGTATACCAGACTCCTATTCCACTTTGTAATGGTTCAGAATATTCATATTA